AACAAGGTGAACGACATTCCATTACCCTCGTGATCCATGTCTGCCTAGTTATAGATAGCTTCAGATAGAATGACTGACTGAAACCCCAGATTTAACGCAATGATTAAGGTTAGCTTAGGAGGGCGTGTGTGTGGAATATTCCATACTTTTACTCGGACCCGAATTGTACATTGCTAGTGCCAGCTTTAAGCAAGTGCCAGGAGGAGAAACGTACCCGTAATCGATAGGGTGACTACGTAATTTCAAGTTATTATTCTACTGAACTAATTACTATGCCTAATGAAGCCGAGGAGATCCAGCAGTTTCCGCTTCGCTGTGTTGAAGAATCCTGTATCCAAGTGCTTGAAGCTCTTGTAATCTCACAGTCTTTTCGTTTGTTCCACAAGTCATAACTCGTAGCCACGGTGTATTCATCAACTTTCATAACGTGGATCACTAAACGGTGGTAATGCGGAGCTATCCGCTTCATCTGTTCGCATCTATGAGCCGCATGTGGACATCTCATTAGCCGACTTATTCTCTTCAATATTGCTATAACCGAGGACCCAGCATAGAGTGACGCTGACGCGTGCTGTGAAATTTTCATACAATTCCCGATTTAACTTTTTGAAATCCCATCGCCTTGAGTGCTATTTGACTATCGATAAAGATACATATATATCTTTATCTTCTGGAGCTCTACTACTAGGTAAAAGACTAGCCACCCTTTTTATAAGCGCAGATCTGTGCTTGAAAGACACTGTAATCTTTCGGTAGATGGAAGGACCGATTGATCTGCAGATCCTTCCTCTTAATGTCCTGTCTCAGCCTGAGAGCGCTCTTTGCGGCCGTACCGTGAATGAAAATACGCAGAGGCTGCAGGTAGAATATTATGTTAAGCCCTTCCTAAAGTGCGCTACTCACTGCTCCGGATATGCACTTTGCACTTTTCCTATTATTTTTTCTATTATTCTCTTTGTCTAGAGCCTTCCACCCTACTAAGGACCAGTGGGTTGTAGTTGGTCTGCTGAGTGTGGTGTAAATGTGTAAAAGTGGGTACTTTTGTTTTCCTAGTAAATAATACCAGTTCTATCCCAATCCTTTATGTTTGGCTCACTTAGAGATATCGACCATTCCATTAGCTCACTTATCGTCGACACGAATTTGCCACGTATGGGTATCCACTCCTTAGGATTGTTCTATACCGAAAAAAATATACCCCTATTTTTTATTTTGAAATCAAAAAATATTTAGAGGCCGCTCAAGGCGCTCAAATATTTCCATATATTTTATATGGGGAAAAACCACTTTTCTAGAAATGGTATAGAATTCTTGAAAATCTATATTTTGCGATCGGAAAACTCTGGTTCTCTTCAGAAGACTTCCGATAATAACATCCAATTGTTTATTTAACCAGTTTTTAATACTAAAGATTTGTTATTGCTCCACCCATTACATTTTCTAGAGGTTTTGGAGGACCTATAAAATATACATAGTTACCATGGAAAAAATGTTAAATAGAATACTGGGTGTAATTACTGGATTCTACTGGTGGATTCTTCCTACCGAAAAATATTGATTTTGAAGAATTCTATACCATTTCTACGAAAATTCGTTTTTCCCTTATAATATATTACATGGAAATTTTTGAGCGCTTGGAGCGACCTCTAAATACTTTTTGATTTTAAAATCCAAAAATAGGGATATATTTTTTCGGTATAGAACAATCCTAGAGGGTGGCGGCAATGAAATTCCTACTTTATTGTTTTTTTTCACCACACTCCTGTATATACATAGATGCTTATGTATGTGCATTTATATGTGTGGCCGTTCACCGTAAAGTCTTCAAAAATGAAGATTGCAGTTCTGTGTGAAAACGTGCTTGTAATGAATGCTTTCACTCAACGAAATTGTGGTTCATTGTGTTTAACTTACAACTTGATGCCACAGTCAAGTAATCGTACTTCCCTTTTAGATTTCCGCACGCACATTACACTTTTTCAATGAGTTTTAAATGAATTTAATTCCACACTTTTTTCTGCCACTTTCCGACCTTCTTTATTCGGGCTATTGACCATTTCACATTGTCTGGTTACAGCAAGTGGCACTCACTCACTTACCGGTAATTGTAAGTGCACGTACTTAAAACTGCCATTTAATTTTTGATTTAATTATAGATGTGTTGTCTAGAGAGGTGAATTTAATGCATTTAGAGAATTTGTATTTGTAGTACCATGATAAAAATATAGTAAGGTAGAACCGCTGAGAGTCACTTTTAAAATTCTTGACGTTTCCAAACAATTTAATTTTTAAATTTACTCACAAACTCACACACACATTTTCATTTTCAATCTCAAGCAACAACAATTTCGAACAATTTCAATTTTTTGTTTTCATTTTTATATGATTTTAAAATGTTGGCAAACTTCAAAAAAAAATCATGGCCGACAAATTGAGAGAACGGTTATACCTTGCTATGTTTTTATCATGTGTAGTACTATTGATCATTTGTTGGATAAAAAGTTTTTGTTTGAACAAATTTTATCAGAATATGGGATATTTAATTTAACGAATATGAATATGAGTTTTATTGATAATGTTAAAAAGCATTTCCTTGGCATCAAAGAAGCCTCATTTGTTGGCCAGGATAAGATATCTCCAAAACAAAAAATTTATCCCGGGAATAAAAGCCGTAGAAAAATATCTCATCTGAATGATGAAACTTCACACTGAAAAGCGACTTGTTTACTCGTTATTTTAGCATTTTATTTGTTGTTA